ATTGGAAGGACTGATGTTGAAGCTGAAACTCCAATACTTTGGCCACCTGATGCGAAGAGCTGACTCGTTTGAAAAGACCCTGATGCTGGGAAAGATTGAGGGCAGGAGGAGAAGGGGATGACAGAGGATGAGATGGTTGGATGGCATCACCGACTCAATGGACATGAGCTTGAGTAAACTCCGGGAGTTGGTGATGGACAGGGAGGCCTGGCGTGCTGCAGTTCATGGGGTCGCAATGAGTTGGACACGACTAAGTGACTGAACTGAACTGATTCAGGGTGGATTCCTAGAAATGCAGTTCCTTTGTCAAAATTGACTACAAACATGCTCATGTCACTCAGTTGTGCTGTTTGCCTATGGAAGCTCCTTTCAGTGAGTTCATGTATTACCTTAATCATCATATGTTTCTGAATTACAGCTTTGAATTTGTGACTTTTTAAAATTTAACTTTATTAGTTATACTTAGCATGTTAAAAAGTATTAAAATTACATTTGGGATAAGGAATTAGTCTTGCATAATTCATCCTTTGCCAAGGCATAATAAGTACCACTGTAATATGTCAACAGCCCCTAGTAAAGGCAGTAGTCGTGCATTCCATTTACCCTGTCCTCCCCGGTGCAGTCTACGAGATCATGATCACTGATGCAGAGGAGAATTCAAGAACTCCAGCAGTGACATAGTGACAAAGCATTTATATAATGCTGTCATTTGCCCAGAGCTTTTCATGTTTCAAAACTCGTTCAAGTCTTCCTTTTTAGTCCACTGGACCACTGTAGAATGGTGTGGGGAAATATCTAATAAGCATTCTATTTATGTAGGGCAAAGTGCTTTACACGTATTTTCTCACTTGAACCTCAGACCAACCCTGTGAAGTAGGCAGAACAAATAGTCAACCTCCCTATTGTGCAGGTAAGGGAGCTGAGACACAGGAAAGTTAAAATGTTCTTCCAAGTTCAGCATCTACTAAGTAGTGAGGCCGGAAGTGAATTTGAGGCGAGATGATACCACACTACTGGTTTAGCAGCTCATGAAAAACGAAAAAAATATCCAAAGGTCGGACATATTCACAGAGAGGTAGATGACTCAGTATAGATTTTGGAATTTAAAGATTCTCTTGGACCCTGTTTTACAGATACAGTGCAAACACGTGGCTCCCTCTGAGCCGTAACGTTTCAGTCCTGCATGGCGGTAAAGGGAGGTGTATTCTGAACACACAGCCTCCTCTGCCACCTGGGTGCCGCTGCTGTGACAGTGAGCCCTGGCTCTGGAGCCAGACTGTCTCCATTTGCACCCTTGTTTTGCCACTTAATAGGCGTGGGGCCTTGGAAAGGTGTTTAACTTCAGTTTTCTTACCTGTAGTATGTGTTATTTTTTTTGTAGGCCTGCTTGTTCTTGTTCAGTTGCTCAGTCGTGTCCGCCTCTTTGTGACCCCGTGGACTGCAGCACGCCAGGTTTCCCTGTCTTTCACCATCTCCCAGAATTTGCTCAAACTCGTGTCCATTGAGTCAGTGATGCCATCCAGCCATCTCATCCTCTGTCGTCCCCTTCTCCTCCCGCCTTCAATCTTTCCCAGCATCAGGGTCTTTTCTAATGAGTCAGCTCTTCACATCAGGTGGTCAGAGTGTTGCAGCTTCAGCTTCAGCATCAGTCCTTCCAGTGAACACCCAGGACTGATCTCCTTCAGGATGGACTGGTTGGTTCTCCTTGCAGTGCAAGGGACTCTCAAGAGTCTTCTTCAACACCACAGTTCAAAACCATCAATTCTTCAGCTTTATGGTCCAAAACTCACATCCAAACATGACTACTCTTGGGCTACTGGAGGGATTGAAAGTAACTTCATCAGAAAGACTGCCTGGTGCCATCTAGACATCATTCTGACTGATCATTCCATTTCCTTCAAAGCACTTGTTAGAGTTTAGAATTATGTATACTTCTGTGCTCGCTTCATGTCTCTCTCTCCTAGAGTATGGGCTTCGTGGCATCGAGGACTCTGCTTATTTTTGCTGCTCTGTGTATCTCTTAGGCCCATTGCTCCTAATCACTGAGTGAACATTTCTTGACTCCGTCTGCCACTTCCTTGGCCCTGTGTTTATTTCAGCCACGTAGGATGACCTGCAACTCCCCGTCCCTTCACGCCTCTCTACCCTTCCATGCGCTGTTTCCTTAGCCTGACATGCCAGCCCTCATGCCTGTGTTTTTCTGGAGAATCCTTTCTCAAGATCCCTCAACACCTAGCTCAGCTCTTCCATGAGGGCTCCTGTGACCCGTCTCAGCCCCTGAAGACAGGGCCTGCCCCGTCCCTTGGCATGTCTCTGTAATAGAGCTGGCCACGTAGCAGTCATTGGTATGTTCAGCGAATATTTTTAAGAACTGACTCTGTAGTAGGCACAGACTAGGTGCTGAGGATACAACAACAGTGGATAGATCTGTCATTCTAATAGGAAAAGTGAACGACAAAAAAAAAAGTACATAACTAAGCAAATAAGTACTAGCAAAAAAAATGATGGAGTGATTGGTTTTGAGACGCTGCCCTTTGCCTCAACATCTGGAAAGTGAAAAGTTTGGGGGTGGGGAGAGATGGGGAGTGAGCCCTGTGTTGTGACTGTTGACCTGGCTGTTCCCCGTCCCCGCCCCCCACCCCTCCTGACTGGCCCTCCGAGCTCTGTAACCCCGTGTGGCACCCACCTCGCCGCGGTGCTCCGCGCTGGCCCTGCGGGCATCGCCGGGGGCGGGCCAGGGTTCCTAGCTCCTGGCTCCGCCTGCAGCCGGGGCAGGCTGCCGGCCGGCGCTCAGCGCGCCGTCTCCAGCCTGCTGCCTTGTGATGCCGGGAAGGCTCTCCCGGCATTCTGCGACCCAGTTCCCTGGTCTAATACCAAGACTTTGTGGAGTTGCTGTCAGGATTAAATGAGAAAACGCGCCTGAAACTCGTAGCCCGGTGCCCAGCACCTGGTCGTCCTTAAGGCCTGGAGAAAAGGCTCTAGTGTGCTCCCGAGGTCTCTGCTGTCTCATTGAGTGAGTTAAGGAAGAGGAAAACTTAATTCTTACTTCAGTAAACAGAACTATGGCAGAAGAGAAGCTGAATACCTTGATTGTATCTTCAGTTGTCTTATTTACGGTGTGTTTAAATTTAGACAAGAAAGAAGGAAAAAAGGGAACTCCCATTCACTACTGATTTTAGCACCTAGAACCAGTAGGTGCTCACTGTCCGTGTGCTCATCACGTGGCCTCGGGAAACTCCGCTGAGCATTTGATTGACCATCGTCTGCAGAGTGGAGTGCGGAGCTTTCACGTTCCAGCCCCAAACCTCGATAGAAATACACAGTCCACCCGTGTGGGGTCACCTTGCCTCTGGCACTCCTTCTTCTAAGATCATAATTCTAGCACTTTGTAGTGAAAGGGATTTTTTGTGTGTGTGCCTTCTACTTCTTCTATCATAAGAGAGCCTGAGGATATCTTAACCGATGAATTTTATGACACTACCAGAGATAGCAACAGTTTTCTTAGGTCAGGAACACCGGTAGGATTAACCTGAGACACTGCTTCTGCGACACGAAAATATCACTCAGACCACACAGCAAACCTTGGGCAGATCACTCCTGCCCTGTCCTACCTCCTTGGAAAACTAAATGCCAAAAACAGCATGTACACAGTTGAGAGCATCAGCACATTGATAGCCTGACGAGCTTCTGGAAATTTTTTTTTTCTTCCGTTATATTAATAGCATTTTCACTGGAAAACACTGAGATCGTGATTATTGTTTTTATAAACTTTAAATATCTGGCTCATTAGGAATGCTTTGATACTTGAATACATAGGCATGAGTTTTCTAGTTTAAAAAATTACTGAGATTAATTAGCAAAGAGATTTTTGCCATGTGTTTTTTCCCTGCAAGCTTTAAGAGTTAACATTTATTTACATGAGTACTTCACTCTGCTCTTAATCGTTCTAATCAATTGGAAAATATCATCTGCTTTTAATGTCACAGGAATCAACTCATCCTATCTTAGAATGAGGAAATAATTAGCAAACAGTTATTATTCCTTTTTAATATTTGTGGCATTGTTTTCAGAGTTTTCCTTTACAAACTGATGCACCATAAACGTTTTCTGGCTGGAGGTATTGAATCTGTTTCTCGGTGCACAAAGGTAGAGGCGTGTATGTCTGTTTCACTAGAAGTCTGTAGCCAAGAGCCACACTGGCGACTGGACGCTCTGATAGGGTGATGGGTTATGGAGCCTTGCAGTGATGTGTGGTGTACATCACAGACTATGGGATAAATCTCTGTGCCTCAGTAGAGGTACACGGCTGAACAGTCAAGAAGACTAGGGGCAAGGATAGAGTTCGTGTGACAGGCTTCATTTCCTGTGTCAATAGGAGGAAGACTTCTGATACAGTGAGGACATTCACCATAACAAATGCTAGCAGCAACTAAATTCAACTGTGTGTATACTGTCCTCTTAATTCCTAGCTGTCTCAAGAAGGACTAATGTGAAAAATATTATACACTCTTAACATTTTACCATTCATGAACAGATGGGAAAAACTGTGCCAATTGCTAAAGAAATTCACATGCAGAGTAACACACCTCAAAATGGTGTTTCTGAAGGTTTTTCTTTTTAAAAATTATTAAATTTATCTTGGGTAAAATTTAATTACTCCTTGGGGGTTTCCTGTAATGTTATATGTGTAATTCATTTGAGTTTATGCCCTCTACAGATACGAATGTTTGGAAGTACAGGTAACCTTGTAATGAATAAAACTGATAAAAGGTTGTGTTCCAATAAAAGGGAAATTATGGAATGATTATTCACTTTGTGAAAGGCTCTGTCATAGGGCACGCTTTCCTAAAGCATTTTAAATTGGATTTCATTTACGGAGCATTCGTTTATACACAGCATTTCAGGAACAAATGCAGTGAGGAAATGAGAGACACAGTCATAGTAAGATAGAGCCCCTTGCGCTGACGTCTGTGCTCCTGTCTCCCTGTCTCCCCTTGCAGCTCTGATAGCCATTGGGCGATACAGCATGACCATAGAGACCGTGGACGTTGGATGGTGCAAGGAGATTACCGACCAAGGCGCCACCCTGATCGCACAGAGCAGCAAGTCTTTAAGATACTTGGGGCTGATGAGATGTGACAAAGTGAGTTGCCTGTCGAACTTCTTTCCTACGTATCAGTGTCATTTATAGCTCGATGTTACCTTCTTCTTCTTTCCCCAGGCATATTGCTCTTTACACGCACGTACTTATGTTATTACAGGTATGCATGATAAGCTGCCTGGTTTTCTAAATTAATCTGAGATGATTTTTTAAATTTCTCTGTTTAAAAATGAATGTTTGTGCTTATGCAGAAAGAAAACAGCAGTCACACACACACACACACACAGCCTAGCTTGTGGCTTCCTGTCCGTGAGTCCGCGAACTGCGGTGAAGCGTGTTTGCGTGGCACGCTGAAGCGTGCCCGGCCTCACCGTGAAATCCCAGTCGGGGTTCCAAGTGTGCTACAGCAGTGAGCTGGAAAGCCCAGTGCCAGATGATTCTGTCTCGGTCTGCAGCGTGTGATTCCGCTGCTCAGCGTCTTTGTGTTCTGGCCCTCTGGGGGCAGGAAAGGGCCAGTGAGGCAATGTTAGGTGGGAATCTCCACCCTTCAGACACTGCTTTCCACACATGTTGAGAAGCGCTCCAAGAGGCCCCCCCCCGAGGTACAGTGGGGCTGGCCACAGGCGTGAGCCTGGGTTTGAGAAGTTGGGCTGCATTTAATAAAGATGATCGAAAGCTGTACTGATAACCAGGCATTGGAGAGGCACTTTCCCCTTTGTCTCTTTTACGTTTTCCCCAGTAACAAATCCAGGAGACAGTCGTTTGTACTGCGAAGGGGAGAAGACGGAGCTCAGAAGGACCAGGCGCTGGCCCCAGGCCCCTCATCCAGGGGGCACCCCAGATCTTCAAGCCTGTGTCCAGCGCCCGGGGCCCACCCCGGGGGCTGTCTCCAGAGAAGGGGGTGCTTCCTTGAAAAAGAGCCACCTCAGACACTGGCTCTGAAACTGTGGGCAGCTTGTAACAACTTACACTCCTGCGCTGCTTTTTGTGCTCGGTGATTAGGGACAATCTAGCAAAAGAGCCTGGGGCTAAATACATATGCCTCTCGAAGGCCATGTATTTTCTAAATGTAGCAAATTTGGGGACAGATAAGAAGAATGGCCCAAATTCTCTCTGCGCTCTGTCAGTTTCGTTAATTGACCTAGTTCTTTTTTCCAGATATTTTACAATCCCAACTTATACCAGACCTTTCCAGTGAGTTACGATTAGAGAGATTTTAGTGTATATACTCAGCCCAGCCTAGAAAGCTGACCGACTTTTGCTGAGCAGCAGTGGAGACCCGGGGTGGCAAGTCCCTCTTAAACTTCACTACTAACTAACTTCACACTGCTGCTAACCCTGTCACTTCAAAATGACTCCTTTTAAAACAAGTCAAAGAGTCCAGAGCAGGAAGAGTGTTCTAGAAACCCTGAACAGTGACATCAGAACTCTCCGGCTTCTGCCCGAAGGAATTGCTGCTCTCTAACTACCTAAGCGAGGACAGGAAAAGGTAGGCATTTAAAGCTGGACCCACGTGCCCACAGCTGTTGGCGGAAGTCCCCGTGTTTCTCGTCCAGCCTCTTTAGACTTCCCCTTCGGAGCTGGATTTGTATTCCAGTTAGTTCAGAAGATCCTTTCAGACGTATTTGCTGACCAGCATTTTGCCAGTTTTCAGTAAGTGGAAGGACCCTCTTCTGCCTAAATGCAGATTCGTCCAAATTAGAGCTCTCACACCACCCAACCCAGCCTGCTGCAGCCAGCCCAGCTGCCCGCTGGCGTCCTCGGGCTTAAGGCAGTTCAGGGCCCAACACGGGAGGTCCTGCGAGGACGGAAGTTTGCAAACCACACACAAAGCGCACGTAGAGCCTCGCACTTAAAAGCCTGCTGGTTGGTTCAGTTGGAGGGAAGTCCAGTGTGAGTGTTCTGTCCTCCGCATCTGCATTACGCTGTCCGCCTTCAGATCCTTAATTTCTATCAGGAGTCAAAGGAGTATGTGAGTAGCAAGGAACTGAAGGTAGCAGTGGAGGATGTGGACTCTGGAGCCAGAGTTCAGGTGCAGACCCGGGCTCCGCCCTTAGCTGTGTCAGCTCGGACAGGCTAACCTCTGAGTGCTTCTGTCTCCTTGCGTGTAAAACGAGGATGATAACTGTACCCGTCTTGTAGAAATGCTGTGAGTATTTACGTGAGTGGACATATATCAAGCCCTTAGAGGAATGCTTGTTATATATAAAATGCTTAATGTTAGTAATTATTCTCATCAACAACATTATATTAACCTGGGTCTTGATTTTTCAATTTACAAATGAGAAAAAAATTGCATTGCCTGCTATCCCATTTTTGAAAGGAAATCTTTAGAAAGAGGAAAGACATGAACTGAAAGATGTTGCCATTTCACTTTTCCCTCACTTAAATTTAATATTATTATTTCTACAAAAATAGATCAATAATCTCATGTTAAACACACTCTACGAAGGGAAACTGATGCCTTTGAGGGACAGCGTATTTGGAATCAACTTACTGATCCAGGCATAAGGCTGAAGAAACATTTGCAGTGGGGGACAAAGGTGAGTTAAAGATGAAACAATTCAAGGAGGCAGGAAAGCAAAAAGAAAGAAAGAAGAAAAATGATGGAGGAGAGGATATTAGAACCGAAACCGGGAATAGTGAAATTCTGTTTAGGGTGCAAAGAGTGACTGTCCGTCTTCGTGTGGTCATCTGTGCCAGCAAAGCCATGAAGAAGAAAGTTAATTTGGGCCTAGCCTATCACTCTTCTCCATGTACCTTAATCTAAGCTGTTCTTCCCTGGAAGCTTCTTCAGTTACGTTCTCTGTCCCCTCTCTGCACACCAGCTGGAGCCAAAGGCGGGAGCAGAGAGACCTGCAGGCCTGTGGTCGGTGGGCTTTCTGAACTTCACACGGATGGGCTTCATCACATCTGTGCATCCCAGGGCTGGTGCTCTGCGGTCCTGGGCTTCTCTGAAATGCTGAAACCTGGTTCTATTTTCTTTCACTCGGGGCCCCTTATATTTGATTCAGAAGCCATACTTTAAAAATGTCTGCTTTTTTTTGCCCCTCACTTGAGCTTTTGAAGAATTAAATAAGAAAATGCAGTGTTAACTGTTGTAGGGGGAAAAGTGTTTTTCTTCCTCACTCTTTCATTAGATAAAGAACAGATGAGAAAATGTATTCTTTGCAGATGAAAGCACCATGTACTTAGATTATCAGACAGCGTCTGAACTAAACAACAGTAAATTTGTCTGGCAGCAATGGGTGACTCCTAGGAAGGAGTCCTCCAGTCGTTAGACAAATGCAGCGTCCCCCTCACGCTTGTAAAATGAGGAAGCGCATTAAGAAGCCCCTGTGTGAGTAGCTTGTCCGATTGCTGGATGGATAAGCACGTTAGAGGCATTACTTTGGGTCTGAAGCCGACGCCACTTAATCCCCTAAACTTCAATGCATTGTGAGAGTGCAGAGAAGAGAACCCTGTGTGAGACGGCTTTGATGAATTGGGGTGAACTTATATTCTTAAGGACTGTTCAAAGGCTTACTTGACCTTGGGAATTAGAGTTGACCCGAAATCACCTATCAACTTAACACGCATTTATTTGGTGATTTAGTTAAAACTACTTGTATAACCAACAGGACTCTCTAATAAAAGCAATATGTTTTTTTCTGCTTTCCGCAATTACAGACAGTCAGTGGCTTTGGTCATGGAAGTCGTTTTCACAACTTCAGTGAATTCTAGGTTCTATTCAGATCTGTTTCTTCTAATTATATGGTATTTTCCTCACTTCTTACATGGCAGTTTGGATGGAGAACAAAACTAAGAAGGACCAAAAAAAAAAAAAAAAAGTTCCTGGGAAAGCTGTAGGGCAAATGGAAATGCAGTGTTCAAGGTTAATGAAAAATGTTTGGAGTAACAAGGCTGATGAAAAGCAAGAGAGCCCAGTGGCGTGGTGTTGGCTGAGAAACCAGACCTCGCCAGAGGCAGCCTGGCTGGTTTGGGAAACCTCCGTGATAAAATGTTGCGGTGGAAACCTCTGCAACGTGTGTTAATACAGAAGTTTGGAGACAGAGGGCCTGAGTTATGAGCAGCGAATAACATCATAAATGTAGCAATTCTCAAATGCCAAACCCTTGTGAAAAGCAGTTGGATGAAGAAATGCTAGAGCTTTTAAAAGCTCCCTTTCACTTTCTATATTTTTTTTCTTTTTCTGTAACTTCATGCAGAACTAATTTTATACACTGTTCATTTGATTTGAAAATGCCAACGTCTGGGGTAGCATTAAAGAGCATTATTGAGGGAGCCACTCTTGGCAAAGCGCTTGGCTGAAAAGGCTTGTCGGCTGTCACGTGTCTCTGGAGTCGCCGCTGGGGGGGGGGCGGGGAGCCCCCGTTCACCCCACTGTGTGCCTCTGCCCAAAGCAGGTAGCAGCCCTTCTGCGTGGAAGCCGCCTCGCCTCGGCCCATGGGGCGCCAGGAGTGCCGTGGGGGCCACCCGACTCAAGGAGTAGACGTAAATAGATTCTGAAAGGTCCACCCCCATGTCCTCTGACCAAAGCCTCTTGGAATTTCTTTGATTTCTAGTTGACATAAATTAGAATTACACAGGCGTGAAGAGTCCGCCCAAAAAAAGATCAGAGAGGCTGCTGGGGGAGGAGAGTTGCCTCTCTGTGATCCTATTGATTATCCAGCTGCCTTGAGGCCAGGGGCCTCCGTGGAGGCCGACTATTATTGATCCACACACCATGGAAATAATCAAATTAATTCATTTCTTATCAAACTGCCACTGCCAAGACCTTTCTCCTCACCTGCCCTCATTCCTGAAGTGCTTAGGTAAGGAGCGAAACAGATGATCTCTTTTAATAAGAAATGATTTCTTCAGGTCATAAGAAATCCTTGCTTTCACACAGGGTTTCTCTCATTGAAATAGTGGAGAGATTTAATCAAATCAGTGAGCAGTCAACGCAGAAAGAAAGTGAGGGAGACCAGTCAGCTCCTTAAAGCCAGGGATCCGCTTTGCAGCCTTAAAATATCAAGGGCCAAGTTTTGCGTGCCCAATGT